GGTGCCTGCCGCGGCCGCGGCTGCGCGTCCGGGAACGCCGCCTCCCCGCCGCGCTTCCGCGCGCGGGCGGTCGGAGCCGCCGGTTGTGGCCAGTCCGCGGCCTCCCGAGACCCCCCACTGATGGGCCTGCTTTCCACCGCCACCACCACGAGTTGGACGGGGGAAGGAGGAGTAGGACGAGGAGGAGGACGGAGAGGAGGAGGAGGAGGAGGAGGAGGAGGAGGAGGAGGAGGAGGAGGACCCCCCCTCCAACTTCTGGTGGTGGTGGTGGAAAACTCGCCCATCAGTGGAGCCGCCCGTTTGGGTCCATCTTCGGCCTCCCGAGACCCTCAACGGGCCCAGGGACAGGCAGAACACGTCCTAAGGCAAAAAAACGTCCCTAGAGTTGGTCTGGGATCTCTGGGGATCCACGCGTAAACAGACACTGGCGCCCTTGCTGCCGAAGGCCCTTAGCAGCTTCACGCGTGGTGTTCTATACCACTCGGAGCAGCCCAGCGGCAAAACAGGAATCGGGCGTTGGCAGAGCAATGTTTGGTGGGACCCGGTTTAGTAATGTGTACTGGGGGACGCTTCCCGCGCCCCGTTCCACCAACCGGAATTGCCGCCACCCGGAACAAAAACTTAAACTATCTGGCTCAGGGCTCCGGGACCCTGCTACTAACCGCGTCCCCTTTTCCTGGGGTCCTGGCAATCTGAGTATCGTTTAACCGATCCCCATCCCCAGTGGCGTGGCCTGGGCCCCACTGCCCGATTTACCCCCCTAGATGGGGATGTAGGTCGTTCCCTTCGGGTTTCGAGGGGTGCATCCCCAATTGGAGAGGTGATTTGGTGGGGGGTATCGAGGGGGACAGGGATGGGGATTGGTTAAACTATATCGAGGCTATACCCGACGAAAGAGAAACCAAAAGAGAGCGGCGCCCGCGGGCGACGCAAACAAGTCACAAAGCAGTGCGGCGGGCCAAGTGGGCTCCTGCAGCCGGCGGCGCTGTCGCCGGGCGCCCCTCGCCCTCGCGCCTGGACCCTAGCAGCAGCAGCAGCAGCGGCGGCGGCAGCAGCAGCAGCCTGGCTCGGAATTGGGAGACACGATTGCAGAGGCCTCCCCACACGATGTCCGAGTCTTCATGGGCCCCGGAAGCGGCAGAGCCGTTTTTTGTTTCTGCCGTATCCGTAAACATCTTAATCATAGAAACGGCAAAAACGGCAACCGGGAACGGCAACATAAACAACTCCAGGATTGGAACCAAACTTGGAACCGGTAACAAAAACGGCGACGGAACCTGTAAACAACGGCGTCGGAACCGGCAACACAAACAGCAAAACAAAAACGGCCCTGTCGTTTTCAGGACCCACGGAGGTCCGACTTGCACGAACAAGCTTCGAAATGGCCTTCCAAGGCCCTGGCATCCTCATCGTGCGTCCCTATTCTACGGGTTGACTGGAGACAGGGTCAGAAGATCGCACCGCATCGCCGACGCGTCGGTAACGTCGGCGCCCGCACGCCCGCGCGGGGCGGGGAGGGCAGAGAGAGATTTGAAAAAGTTGTACCCTTTGCAGACGAAGGCACCAGATACCTTCTCAGACCGAGTAGATGTGGTTGGAGGATCGAGTCGCATCTCCATGCATCAACGATGCATCGGCGATGCATCGGGCTCCGAGATCGAGCCGCATCGCCGATGCATCGGCGACGCGACGCGATCCTCCGACCCCATCTACTCGGACCCCATCTAGGAGGCCTAGACCATTAATCGGCGGCGAGCCCGGGAGGAAGTGGGGAGGGGCGGGCCTTCTCAGGAGGCTAGGAAGTCGCAGGGCCTTCTGAAAGTGTACGAAGCCTTTCCCGCAAGACGCAAAGAGACTCTGAAGGCGCGAGGGCTTCTGGAAAATCCCACCGCCTTCTGAGAAGACCTTCTCCATCTCACTTCCTCCCATCGCTCGCCGCCGAATAAAGAACACGATTATCGGGCCCTGGGGGTCCTCGTCGGTCCCCAACACCATTAAAAACTATTCAGGGTGAATCGATGGTCCCTGGTCGGAAACTGGCACATTTAACTTTACCAGTGGCGAGCTGCTTGTGAATCCCACGACATTTCGACGGTCGGGACGACGTCGGGGTGGTGTGGTGTGTACTTTTGTTTATTCGTTTCCCGGATAGACAGCGAAAACATGTGTACACCAGGGCCGCGTATGCACCAAGATCCGACTTCCTGTGCACATTTCAGTGCAGGGCTGGGGAAAAGCGTCGGTGTGTAGAGTTCGGTTCCCTGCCCGGGAATGGGTCGAGACCTCTGTCTGAAGGGAATGCGTCGGAGGACAGAAGCCCAGCACTGGTTCCAGGCCAGCAGAACGGAGGGACAAAAAAGGTGTCCCCTCGTCGCCACGGCTGGACACGGCTGGCCCACCCAACATATTGTCAGCTTCGAGCCCAGATAAAATCTTGGGACCGATTTTGAATGAATTTGCCCTCATCCTCCCCCCCCCCCGCGACTACCTCTGGGCCTAGCAATCCAGCTCAGATCCCCGGCCGGACAGAACCCACTTTAGCAAAACGTGGTTTATTGAAAACGGCCTCGGGCCCAAATCTGGCGGGCGCAAGCCTGGAACATGACGGCCGCGACGCCCTCTCGAGAACCGAAGCGGACAATTCACGAATCGACGTGTCAGGGCTGGGGTTCTGCCCACCCCCAAGATTAGGGGTCCGTGAATATTGCGCGCGGGTGCCAGATCCATGGATCGGGGACAGTACCACCCGGCACATGAGGGTTCCGCCCGATTTCGCGACGGCGTGGGGCGACTCTGCATGGAAGCAAGACCCATCGCGCATCCACGCGCCCGAATTGATCAATGTCTTCTTGCTAATCGGTGGCGATGGGTTATGAGGCCGACGCTGGTTATAATAATGCTGGTGATGATGTTGGTGATGACAGCGATGGTGATGATGATGATGATGCTGATGATGATGATGATGATGATGATGATGAGTATTAGGATGATGGTGATGATGATGATGATGCTGATGATGATGATGACGATGATGATGATGATGATGATGATGATGATGATGGCGGTGCTGCTGATGATGCTGATGTTGATGATGATGCTGTTGCTGATACTGCTGATGATGATGATTATGAGACGTATGATTATGATGAAGGGGGACATGATGATAGGTAGCCGCGTCTGGAGGCACAATGGTCGTGCGGAACCATAATCCCAGAAGGTGATGTTAATACTCAAACTGGTGATGATGATGAAGATGGTGATGCTGATGATGCTGCTGTTGATGATGATGGCGATGCTGATAATGATGATGCTGTTGTTGCTTATGATGATGGTGGTGATGATGGTGCTGACGATGACGATGACGATTAGGATGACGACTATGAGGAAGATGATCATGGTGATGATGCTGATGCTGATGGTGATGATGATGATGGTGGTGATGATGACGACGATGATGAGGAGGATGAGGAGGACGAGGAGGGTGATGATGATGGTGGTGATGATGCTGCTGATGACGATGATGAGAAGAAGGATGATGACGACGACGACGACGAGGAGGAGGACAAGGAGGACGAGGAGGAAGCCGAGGGGGCCCTGTGGGCGGCCGGCCCCCCCGCCCCCGCCGCTTGCCGCCGCGCTCCTCCGAGCGCCCGGGCCGGGGCTGGAGCCTGGCCGCCGCGGGCGGCAGCCGCGCGACGCCCGTTGGGGGGGCCTCCTCCTCCTCCTCCTCCTCCTCCTCCTCCTCCTCCTCCTCCTCCTCCTCCTCCTCCTCCTCCTCCTCCCCCTCCTCCCCCTCCCCAGGGCGAGGACGAGCTCGGGAGAGGAGAGGTCACTCCTGCTGCTCCCCCCTCCGCCCTCTCCACCGACTCCGGCTCCTGCTCCTCCTCGCCCCCCTCGCACCCGCCCTCCTCGCCCTCGCCCTGGCCCGCCTCGTGCTCTCCTCCCTCCTGCTCCCTCTTCCCTGCACCCGCTTCCTCTCTCCCCCCCTCCTCCTGTCGAGACGAAGCCAGAAAGACAGCATCAGTCAGAGATACATCGGGAAGCTCTGGAGGATGTCTCTGGCGCCGCGGCCTTCTTTGAGCGTTCTGGAACGCTCTGAGAGCGCTACAAAGCGCTCTGGAACGGAATCATCCTGATCCAGCCCCGCCCAGAACTAGGAGGCAACTCCCGGGATGGCCTCGTAAGAAGGATCAAGGCCTCTTCGGCCAGTTTACGCGCCATTTGCTAGAGTAAGCGGGATTAGGCCACACTGGTCGGGAGTACACATACCATATTAAGCCTGTTTTGACCGTGGATATGCCAGCGCCAATGCTGAACTTCACCTCCTAGGAGTCTAACCAGGGGGGGTGCAGATGCGAGGACTCTTTTTTTACCATCGCGACGCCCAAACTTGTTCGCTCACGACGGAAGGATTCTAGCCGTGTTCGACTTCTGGCCCTTGCGGAGCCCCGTGAGGCCGTGAACACAAATGATTCTCGGGTTGGAAAAGCTGGGTCGGAATTTCTGGGGATCCCTGCCGAAAGAAAACAAGACATCGGATGTCTGGGCTTTCTCCCCATTGTGAAGGGGCCCAGCGGCAAAGTATGTAAACGACGACAGCGACGAGGAGGACGAGAGGGGGGGTAGTAATGGGAGAAGGGGGGAAGCGCGGCGGCCGCGCCACCGCATGCGAGGGCAGCGCGGGACGGGGAAGGGAAAGCGCGGCGAGGACGCGGCTGAGCATCCGCTGTCCGATCCCCGTGATCACTGGCATGGCCTCGGCCCAACTGGCCAGCTCGACCCCTTGCGGTGTGTGTGTGTGTGTGTGCGTGCGTGTGTGTGTGTGCTATCCCTGTGGGACCGCGTCCCCCTGCTCCAGTCCACGGCGTACCTTGTCCTGTGCAAGATCTTCGGCACCGCCTGTTTTCTGAGGCATCCGGCCGCCTGAGGCCCCGCCCCCCGCGCCCTGTCTCCCCAATTCCCGCGTCCCGTTTAGCTCTTGACCGGAAGGGGCCAGCTCCCGACCCGCCGACCAAAAAAAAGTGTGTGTGTGTGTGTGTGTGTGTGTGTCCGTGTGTGTGTGTGTGTGTCCGTGTGTGTGTGTGTGAGTGCTTGTGTGTGTGTTTGTGTGTGTGTGCTAGTTCCCTTCGGGCTTCACTTCACGGGCCCACACCACCCGGGCGGGTGGCGTGGTGGGACCGAGGTGCCCTGGCCCAGTGGGAAGAGGGGGTCGCGTAGGCCACGCGGAACGACGGGCAGAGAGGTGCCGGAGAAGCAGAGCTGCAATGGGCAAGGGGGGGGGCCCGGAAGGACGCACTCTACGGGGGGCCAGTCGAGACAACGGCGGCACTCCCAGGCGTTCTTCGTGCTTCCTGGCCCCCTGAGGCTTCTCGCTGCCACGGCTGGATTCGCTTCGAAAACGGAGGCAAGATGGACCACAAGGGAGGTCTGGGGACGGATTTCGAGACAGGGCCGGGCGGAAGAGCCGCCGTTGTCCCAACCGTAGTGGGGAGCAAGCGGGACAAGCAGTAAGGAAGGACAGACGAGGAAGGATGCGAGAGGGAGCTTCCGCAGTGGGAAGACAGGAGAAGTGTAGGGAGCAGGCAGGGAGAGGCAGGAGGGGAGGTGGGGGGACAAGAGGAACGTTTCAGTCAGACAGGGCTGGACCTAAACGATGTTGTTCATGTTGTGTTTGCTTTCTTGTTCGTTCTCCTCTACCTGTGTTCCTGTAGATCCCAGCCAAAACGAAACACAAAGCACAGCCGAAGTCCAGCAAAACAGCGCTCAGGTCGAGCCATGCAGTCAGAATGAGGCCTGGAGTCAGGCCAGGCAAGGCGCCCGCAGCCACGACGGATCGTAACTCTCGGTAGGCGCACCAGGCCCAACCACTCGAGGCATGACGGAGCATGAAGATGCAAGGAAGGCCCAGGTCTCGCACTGAATCGATTGGGAAGGCTATCTGTGCCTCCCGGCGCCCGACACCCACTTCGTCCCCTGCCCACCCTCACCCCCTCCATCTGGCCTCTCGCAAGTCGCAGGAGGGCGCCATCCGCGAGAAGGGAACTCGCACGCATGCGACGGAACTCGCACAGCACGGACTCGCACGCGCAGACATCGCACTGACCTGCCTCTTATGATGCAACTCGAGCGGCGGAGCTCGCATTGACGGAGCTTGCGCGGCCGAGACCGCTCGAGGAGCGGCTCCGCAGCGGCGGGGGCGCTCCACTGGGCCTCGTGCGAGCTCCGCCTCGTGCGAGCTCCGCCTCGTGCGAGTGCCGTGCGAGTGCCGTGCCATCTCAGTGCGAGCTCCGCCCCCCGTGCGAGCTCCGCCCGTGAGCAAGCTCCAGCGCGTGCGGGGCTCCGCGGCCTCCGCTGGCAAGAGAAGTATGGCGACTCCGCAAGACCTTCGACTGGACGAGACATGCGGGGGGCCCGACTCGGGGATGCCCGATAGGGGGTCGTCCACCCTGGATGGGGGTGCCTCCTCCTCCTCCTCCTCCTCCTTCTCCTCCTCCTCCTCCTCCTCCTCCTCCTCCTCCTCATCCCCCTCCTCCTCCTCCTCCTCCTCCTCCTCCTCCTCCTGCTCCTCCTTCCTCCCTCCTCCTAGCGCCAAGGCAAAGCATCCCCCACGCCCCTTCTGTTCTGAACGCCAAGACTGCATGGAGGACCTCGGGGACCTGGGGCCAAACATGGAGTGCGAACCTCCTCTCCCATCCTCATCCTGCGCGTCTGACAGCAGCTAGCTAACCGTAAGACTGTCGTCTGACCTCAGTCGCTTCACCCCGGGACTTTGCCATGACGGGCGCGCACGGCGCGATTCTCTGGCGGGCCGCGGCGGATAACCATGCCAGGGCTGACGGTGGTCCGTCGCCAGGCCTATAGCGCTCCTGGGGAAGGGGGGGCATCGAAGGTGGGCGCGACAGAGGGAAGGAAGCAGAGCGGAAGGGAGGGATGGAACAAACATAGGGAGGCAGGGACTGAGGAAGGGAGGGGGGAAAAGAGGAGGAAAGGGAGAGAGCGAGCAAGGTAGCAAACCATATTGAGGGGTAGAGATGGAATAGCTGAATACACGTGGCACGGCGATAAAGGTGGGCTGGCAAGCAAGTAAGGGGATGACGCGAGCAGAAAGAGTGCGGACAGGGCGAATGCAAAGATCCTCGACCCGTCATGATCCGTCGCCCCCCACGCAAAAACGGGTGTTCATGTTCGTCGCGCATCGGGCATGAGTCGCGGGTCGAGTAGCGCTTGGGGCTGCAACGGATGCCAAATCACACTTCCTGTGCAAAGGCGTCGGTCGTGCCCGTCGTGGTGCCGTTTTGCGATACGAAGGGGGTGCGGACAAGGAGCGCATGGCAGGGGTCGGTGGGTTCGTCGCCAACCCGAGCTGCAGACCACCAACTGTGATCCTTGACGGCCCAACGGGCCAGAGGCGTGCTAAGATCTCCGGTAACTACTTAACAATATTTCTAGTTCGCGCGCGCGGGGCGGCCCCTGGGGGGCCCCGGGCGAAAAGTACCCCGGCTGGGTCCCGGGCGATCCCCAGGGGGGGGAGGCTATTTTCGCCACCCCTCACGAGGATCGTGGCCTCCGATGGGGGGGAGGCTGCAATCGACTACCCCCCCTCCCGCCCCAAAGGGCCCCCAAGAGTTCCCCAAGATGCCCCAGGGGAGCCCACTGCGCCGCCAGGGAGCCCCAAGACGCTCCCAAGAAGCCCCTAAGAAGCCCCCAAGACGGCCCCAAGAGGCCCCAAATAGCGCTCCAGGGCTGGCGGAATGAGCGAAACGATTAAATAAGCGTTCGTTCTCAATTATCCGCGGAAAAAACACCCGTGACTGGCCCCGCCCACCTCCCCCCCTGGTCACGTCACGACTTGGGCCAGCGCCGTCTGGGAATTAGACATCCCTAGTATTATGTCGGGCGTGTCCCCCTACAGGGGGATTTTCGACGAAAAATAAAATGAACCCCAAAACTACCCAAAAAGGTAAACAAATACTCAAAACATAGTCCCCAAACTATTTTTGGACAATTGTTTGATTATTTTGGGGGTATTTTTTTGCCCAACCCTCCTTGGTTGGGTTTTCGTTTTGAATAGAGCAGTGTGGTCTCCACTCTCTCCTTCCCTCCTTCCCTCTTTCCTGCCTCCCTCTTGCCTCCTCCTGTCTTGCCTGCGGAAGGCTGCGATCTGTGAAACTGTCGCCACTTTCGAGGCCTGCTGGGGGGCCCAGCACAGTGACGCCACGGGCAGATTCAAACTAGACCTCGCCATCCCTGGGGGGCTGCGATCTGTGAAACTGTCGCCACTTTCGAGGCCTGCTGGGGAGCCCAGCGCAGTGACGCCACGGGCAGATTCAAATTAGACCTCGCCATCCCTGGGGGGCTGCGATCTGTGAAACCGTCGCCATTTTCGAAGCCTCCTGGAGGGCCCAGCACAGTGACGCCACGGGCAGATTCAAATTAGACCTCGCCATCCCTGGGGGGCTGCGATCTGTGAAACTGTCGCCACTGTCGAGGCCTGCTGGCGGGCCCAGCACAGTGACGCCACGGGCAGATTCAAATTAGACCTCGCCATCCCTGGGGGGGCTGCGATCTGTGAAACTGTCGCCACTTTCGAGGTTTGCTGGGGGGCCCACCACAGTGACGCCACGCGCAGATTCAAATTAGACCTCGCCATCCCTGGGGGGCTGCGATC